TTTTATTTGTTATTGTACTTTTCAGTTCCAGAGTTGCCGCTTGTCTCCTTATTGTAGTCTCTCTCTCTTTTATCTCATTTATTTAATAAAGCATTGTTTTGCTACTTTTAGTTCTTTAAGCATGGTTTCCTTCAGATCTTTAAACAGACTTGAATAGTAATTCGAAGTCTGTCTAGTAGTCTTACATCTAGACTTCATCAGTGACAGCTTCTGTTGACTGCTTTTATTCCTCTATATTGATCATACTTTCTTGTTTTTTTTGTGTGTTTCATAATAGTTTGTTAGAAAAAGACCTTTTTAAGTAATATAACGTAGTAACTTTGGAAATTAGGTTCTCTTCCCACCTGAGGATTTGTTATTGTTATTGGTGCTATTCTTGTCTATTTGTTAGGTTAGTGATTTTTCTGAGCTGTTTCTGTAAAATCTGTATTCTTTCTTATAGGCAGCCATGGAAGTCTATGGTTGGCTTAATAATCAACTAATGGTTAGACAGAGATGTCCTAAGGTTCCTAAAAGCAGTAAGTCTCCCACTCATTGCCAAGGGGCATGCCTTCGACATTCAGCCAGGCAATTTATAGCTCTAAGCATGTACTTAACTTTCTGGTTCCCACGAACATTTTGGGACTTTTTAAAACCTCCCATGTACATCTCATTTCGAAGCTTTTAAGTTAGCCGTTTCCCCCCTTCAACTGTTATCAGCCACCTTAGGCAGCCACAATATTCAACAATTGCCTCTGACTGTTTTTAGCAAAGACCTGTGGGAGGAAAGTCTGTGCACACTAGGTGAATTCAAAGTCAGATCAAATGAAGAAGACATCCTTATGAATGGAGTCTTCTAGAGAATTACCAAATAGATAAAATGATGACACTTACCTGGGAATGGGGCTGTGGGTGATATGCAACCTAATTCTGCTGCCTCTAGTTGTTGCCAGGGTGATTTTTCACCATAAATGAGGGTTTTCAAGGCAGCTGTGGTGGTCAGGGAAGAATGGGAATAGAGAAAGTTAAAATACCACAAAACTTATTCTTCCCACCAAAATTTCATTGCTTTTCTTGAATAACTGCTCCTGGAAAGCTACAAGCCTTTTGTTATTTTCCATATTTCTCAAGAGTTGATTCTGGCAATGTTTACTAGTATTCTCATTGATTTTATGGTGGAGAGGATTTTCAGAGATTCTTATTCTACCACCTTTGCTGATATCTGTAAATTATCATTTATGTTTATAACAGTTTTTCTGCATTTATTAGCTGGAATTCTTTAAAGAATGTTTCCTTATCAACTCTTTGGTTACCATTAAATATAGTTTGTAAACAAATGACAGAATAAATTCGTGGTAAGCTGTGAAATTTCTGAATAGTGATTTAGTGCTTTAGTATTAATCCAAAAATCATCAATTAGTTTGTTCTTTTTTTCAGTTGGATTATGTATTCCTCAGTTTTGTGGTTTATGTATGGGACTTTTAAATATTTTTCATCTCTTATGAATGGAGTCTTCTAGAGAATTACCAAATAGATAAAATGATGACACTTACCTGGGAATGGGGCTGTACATATGGTTCACCATACCACTAATCATCAGGAAAATGCCAATCAAAACCACAATGAGATATCACTTCACTCTTGTTAGGATGTCTATTATCTAAAAACAAGAGGTAACAAATGCTGGGAAGAAAAGGGAACCCTGTAAACTATTGTTGGGAATATAATCTGTAACAGCGACTATGGAAAATAGTATAGAGATTCCCTAAAAAAATTAAAAATAGAACTACCATCTGATCTAGGAATACCACTTCTGGGTATATATCCAAGAAATTTTTATCTCAAAAAGATATCTGCACTCCAATGTTCATTACAGCATGATTAATAACTAAAGTGTGGGTACAACCTAAGTGTCATCAAAAGGTAATGGGGTAAAGAAGATGTGGTATGTGCATATACACACAGGAATACTATTCAACTTTCAAAAAGGAAATCCTGGCATTTTTGACAACGTGGATTAACCTGGAAGTCATCCTAAATGAAATAAGCCAAATACTGCATGCTATCACTTACATGTGGAATCAAAAACAAAAGACAATCAGACTCATAGAAGCAGAGTAGAAAAGTAGTTGTGAGGGGCTTGAGACGAAGGGAAATAGGAAGAGACTTGCAAAAGGATACAGTGTTTCAATTATAAAATTAATAAGGCCAGGGGATCTAATGTACAACATGGTGACTATAATAGATAACACTGTACGAGATATTTGAAATTTGCTAAGAAAGTAGAACTTAAAATTTTCTTTCCACATCAAAAAATAAAAAAAAAAGAAAGAAAAAAGATAAATATGTGAGCTGATGGATGTATGAATTAACTCAATGGAGGAAGCCTTTCACAGTGTATACATTATGTCAAACCATCACGCTGTACACTGTACATATCTTACAGTTTTGTCAATTATACCTCAATAAAGCTGAACAAATACCTACTTAATATAGTTTGGCTAGTAGGTTGTTTTATCATGTTTTTTTGTTGGCTTCTTAACTTTATTTGTTTATTGCTTTCATGATATATTGACTTTGGCTGTGAGGTCACAATAGTGTATTTTATCCAAGAACTACGGAGCACTCACATACCCAACAGTAATAGAATGGTTAATTTGTGGCATATGATGAAACACTAAACTCCATGAATAAATACATAAATAAAGCATGATACATGCAACAACATGGATGGGTATTATAAACATAATGTTGAACAAGGCAAGGCATAAATAGTTTATATTATATAGTTCCACTAGAGGCCCAGTGCACGAAATTCGTGCACTGAGGGGAGGGGGGAACAGTCTCTCAGCTCGGCCTGTACCCCCTCACAGTCCAGGACCCCTTGCTTCTTACCGCCCGCCTGCTTGCTGCTCCTTAGTGCTGCTCCTTAGTGCTTGCTGCTCCTTAGAGGTGAGAGAGGCTCCTGCCACCACCGCTTCACTCACCAGCTGTGAGCCCGGCTTCTGACTGAGCAGTGCTCTCCCTGTGGGAGTATACTGACCACCAGGGGGCAGCTCCTGTGTTGAGCATCTGCCCCCTGGTGGTCAGTGCACATCATAGCACCAATTGTTCTGGTCATTCCTGGTGGTCAGCACACATTATAGTGAGCGATGGAGTGGCCTTAGCATATCATTAGCATATTATGCTTTGATTGGTTGTATGGACGACCAGGCACTTAGCATATTAGCCTTTTATTATATAGGATTATAACTGAAATATAAATT